ACTGGATTTAAGAGCCAGAGAGAGATGGAGAGAGAGTAAGTGGACACATACAAACATATGGGTCCTTGAATGAAGAGGGCCCGCATAGCAGCACATATAAGAGCGAGGGGAAAAAGCATATTCAAGCGCACTTTGTAACAGACACATCTTGGCTTGAATTGCCCTGCTGTTCAAATTGCAAGCCCACAAAATGTCAGTCTCTGTGGCAGCAATGTCAGGTTCTTGTTTTGTGTGGGTGTTTAAATGGCATCCAAGATGGAGGCATGTAGCACTCAGATTTGTTTGTATTAGTTTCTTTTTTCAAGAGGCTATAACAATCTTTGTACACTTTAACTCTGTTGCTGCCACTAAACCCAATAAAGCAGGCAAACTTGAAACACACCGTGACATCAGTGACATTACACTACCATGACATTTCGAGGGTATCTTTCTTTTAATTTAGCTCACAGTACCAGGACTGCTTCTTTAGTATGTGGAGCCACAGTAGAGGCACAAACCTACTTTTATCAACCTTTGCCAAGTTATAAAACAGCCATGGAAAATATAAGTGATTGGCTGGCATACGTCTGTTATAATCTTGTACCAGCACACCATTTAATTCTTCACTAATAATTATTACGCAAGGTATAATGGCAGGTAACCGTAGCAACAGATATGTAATGGCAGGCATCCTCTTCAACTCTTTGGATGCAAATTGTGTTAAAATAGCTTTTACATTAAAAGCCAATTGAAGACGTGTCTGAGTACCCTTACGTGTCCTGAACATGAAAATATACGACATGCCTGAGACATGAGTATGCATGTAGGAGTGGAAATAAATGGAGCGCGTCTCTCAGCATCCTGCCGTTCTCATAATTTTATCACATAAGCCAAACTGCACTGGGCAGGTTGTGTGTAAAAATACACCCAACTAATCAGCCTCTATCACAAAGAGAAGTTATAGCAGAGAAAAGCAGACCCCCCCCCCCCCCCCCCCCCCCCCCCCCCCCCCCCCCCCCCCCCCCAATGCTAATAAACCCAGTGGGTTTGTCCTATTTGCTCAAATGAAGTTCTGGTGGTAGTTATTTACATTTCTCCACCCACTGGAAGTGAAAGTGTTGCACTGCAATGGAGAAATACAAACTTCATCTTAAGTAGGGCTGGGCAATATATCAGTATTTCAGTGACATTATTATATGAGACTAGATGTCTTAGATTTTGAATATTGTAAGACTGTAAGTGTTGTGCTCTGTTTCGGTGCCTATGCCCAGCTCTACATCCTAATCAACTGTACCAACCAGTGACTTTATATTAGGATGGACGACACATCTTCACTTCCTCCCGCTGTACAAAAATGAAGCCAAAATGTTGCAGATACGAGTGCTGCCATCTTGCACTAGTGACGCATTTGGAGTAAGAGTCTGGGCAGCAGTGATAAGGAGGCGGAGCTACGGTATGGAGTTCACACCTGTACACCTACCTGACCAGATTGCTAACATTGCCGCTGATGTACACAGCTGTCAATGCTGACATCACACCCCCTTTTTATAGCGTCAAATAATTTAAAACCAAACCTATACAAAAAATGAACACGTAAACGTACATCAGCAGGACTTTTTCAGACCTAACGTGAAGGGGGTGGGGTTTATGACCTGTACTGCAGTCAGCCACCAGGGGGCGATCAAGATGTTGTGGCTTCACTTTAAGGAACTGTCATGTCGTCCATATTTCTGATGCAGTCTATGGTTGTTGTATCGCATCTACTTATCAAGTGACATGACAAAAGTTGCCTTCCATTATTGCTAAACTACTATTTTACGCCATAAAACTCCCCTAAAGTTGAATGTATAAAGTAAAGTGACAGAAAGAACCCTGGAGAAAAAGACAGGACAGTATTTTTAGAAAGAAGCACATAGCCTTTCCTTCACCTCTATGCTTGGTTTGATTCTCTAATCAATTGATCAAACAGCGGCACTCCAGATGATGGAAGGCGGTGCTGATGAGCACACTCAATTTTATCCTGCCATCATGAGGAAGCACGTCTGCAATTAAGATGGACAGATGGCAGAAACAGAGAGGGATAGAGATGTAGAGACAAAGGAGGAGGCAGTGACAGGAGGCACTAAAACTGCTGTGTTTTTCGTGAGGCTCTGAGTCTCCTGGGAAGCCGAGAAGGCCTCGCAGACTCACACATGTTTTATCACTGAGCCTCATTACCGGTGACATCCACACTGAGGGACAAGAATGCAAAATGTCAAAACACTTCAATTGCTGCCACATATTGGCTGCTTCAGAAGCTGTGTTACATTGGAAGACCTGATTCTGTTCTATTTTTAAACTGCACGTTGATCCTTTGGCTCTACAGTTTACGTTAGATTACATTTTAAGTTCAGATGCATTATGCAGAGCGTGATGCATTCACAGTGCTGTAACAAGCACAAGTGATCAGCACACAAGTCACACCGAAATGCCAACAATTTCTGCCCCAAACACACACACACGTTCCAACACAGGTCAGCTGGACTCCTACTGTAGTCATTAACGAAAATTGATGCCAGGGAGTTCAAGTGAATTTCAGTACACAGCTGTTGGGTCCAATTATTCAAAGCTTTTACAAACCAGACATTTTCCATTCACATCATTAGTAATTCATAATGCAAGTCATCTTGTCATCGCTTCTCTTACCTCCATTCACCTTTTACTTTTATCCACACGCCTGCTGATGATTTAGTCTGATATCTTAGTATTCAGATAAGGCCAGGATATTGTCTTACATTTTCATACGTGCCCCCGTCCCTGGTCAGTGATGCTGCAGCTCTCCTCTCTCCCTATATCCTCTGCACTTTCTGTATGTCACTTGTAGAGGTAATGATTGTCGTTATCATCAGCTTTGCATTATTTTGAGGCTGATTCGATAATATATTATATTAATCTTATAAATGCTTATTTTCATGGCCTAGGAAAGTTCAATCAATATTTGTGAACATGTGCTATTCTCTCTCAAAGCCAGAGACTAAAGAGTCTCAAACTTGTGATATTATCAAGTATGAAGTCTAGAGCTGCTCCATTGACAATGAATGGGAGTCTGAATGTTTCTTTTCTTTTTTATACCCAAATGAGCTTTATCCTGTTGTAGTGCTCTCAGTCCTGAAACAGAAAATGTACCCATATACTCAGAACATTACCCTGTGTGCTCTCAGTGTCATCTATAACACCTTTCCCAATCGTCTATGGAGCAGCTCCAGACTTTATACCCTATGACATCACAAATTTGAGTTTTAGCGCACTAGCTTTTGGAGTATGTGGAGAGTTGTTGGTTCCTACTTATATTTTAGGACTGTCTTAGACCACAGGAGTAACATGTATACATTTTAGAAATAAAACCAGATCATAAGTCCTTTAACATGTGTGTACAGGATACAAAACCACCAGAATGACTTAAGATACTGTTTACTTAAGGCTACTGTTTTGCTTCAAGCCTTGTACAGTCCTGTGACATCATTCATTGTCTCCTCTTTCATCTTCCCTCTACTGCTGATGTGAAGACACTAACTAACAGTAGGCATGCTGCTGATGAAGAGGGGAAAGACTGGTTGGTCTCTCCCTTACAGTGTAAAAGATTTCATCAGACTGTCAGATACATAGCTAATTAGGCTCAATTAGTGTACGTTTGTAGCTTGCTCCTCACAATACTGTATTAGTATAACAAGCTCTGTATGACTGTGTAAGACAACCCTGCTTTGGATGGCAGAGCGGTCGAACACTTCCCATTTCTGAAAGGATGTTTTGTTTGTTCAACAGGCCTTTGATGACTTACTTGTGCTGTCTTCTTTACTGACAGATTTTGTTGCACTGAACCCAATGTTGAAAGAACGAATGATATTACTGTGCACTAGCGAACAATAACAAAATCTTCCCTAAAATAAGAAGTTTGTTTCGATGTCACGCCCTCTTGACTTGAGTTTTGTGATTGCTTTCTCCATTTCTTTTCTCATACACTGAGCTGAACTGCCAGTCAGAGGGATTTCTTTCATCAATGGGCTCCAATGTCTCAGACAACAATTTAACACCAAGAATTGGCAGACCAAAAAAATGGGCAACAAGGGCCGACTAGTGCCAACGGTGTGGGAAACACCACGAAAAACTAGGACAACAGATTCTCACAGACGGCCCAACATTGACCGGCAGCCAACCATCGACTTGATGTGTGGGGGCCATGATGGATAATGAGCATTGTCGGTTTTAGTAAAATAAAATCTCAAGCAAAGAACTTAAACTTCTGTCCACACCAACACAGTGCAGAGGAGAGAAAGGCAGGTTTTAAGGGTAATTATCGGCTGAAATTGCATTAATTAAATAAATGAATTATCAGTAAATTATGCAATTATATATAAGTTGCGTCCCCATTATTTTTAGTGTATGCATAAAAGTCCAACTGTTTGTTTGAGATACAGCAACTTTGATTGTTCCTGTTCATGTAATTCTCAGCTGGACATGATCGTCCTTCATTTTGTCATCCAATCACATCCACACATAGGACATTTGGAAAGCCAAGAATAAAAGTGACATTTATTTAGGTAAATTTGAAACTGAATGTCAATATCATATTCACAATTAGGACTGACATATAAATCAGCATTTATCCTTGTAGTATCAATTGTTTGGCATCCTGATAAACATTCCGGCACAATATAGTGACATCTGCCATCTTGCAGCCTGTTGGGAAGTGTGTTTCCAATTAAGGTGATTGAATTGACTCCGGGATCCGCCTTTGTAAAGGTCCTCTCGTTTCTCTGCTGTCATTCGCCATATATCCTCCCTCACTCCCAGTGTCTCTGTCCTTTTCTTTTCAATACTCTTTCCATCTGTTCACCTTTGTTTTCTGTTGTCGTCTTTCTCTGAACCCAGGAAAGAGGAAAAAGCACAGTAATGAATGGTGCGAAAAGCTGCAGAAAGGGCTGTTTTTGTCTCACTCCTCCAAGCCTGTAATAACCACTTTTGTGTGTGCTCTCTGTTTGCAGGAGAAGGGGAAAGCAGACGGGAACATCGATCAATGTGAGTACACTTACTGTGTTCAAACCAAACAGCATTTTTCAAAATATGCCATGTTGTGCTCCATGACAAAATCTTTCTTTCTTTTTTTTTTTTCTTCTGCTGTTATTCTGGCACGCACTTTGGTTTTCTGATTGCTGGGAAATGCTGCTGGGAAGTAATTCAAATCTAAATGGCTCTCGTAAAATGGACCGTGCAGCCGGTTATGGAGAAGACCTCTGATGATGATATAACTGTGACAATCTGAAAAAATCCCACTTGTTATTGCATCGCATTTATTGCTCTACTCTTCTCGGAGGCGGTGTTTGAAAGCATGTCAGATTTAAATTTTGAAAGCATTTCAGTTGTCAGTGGATAATCTACAAATCAGCTGTGGGACTGGCAGGCATTAGTTTGTCTATTCAGCTGCATTCGGCACCATCTGAGAGGAAATGGTATAGTTTTTAAAAACGGTGTATTTTTTTCAGTAATGGTGTGAACTCATCTGCACCATGTCCTGCCACTCTTCCCCAACTCAGCAGACAGAAAGCAAAAGCACCTGAAATCACTCATTCCAAGTGACAAGCCCTCTATATGTTGAGAGATATATTTGTCAGGTGAATAATTATTCAGCTGTCAAGCATCTTCAGTCCCCTGTCAGAAATGATTAAGTAATGTTTGTTTGGCTTTGGCCTCAGGCTGTTTCACACTGTGGTGATTGCTCAGACAGTTGATGCCCTATAAAGAAGATCAGTCACATTCTTGACTCTCAACCCCCACATAAGTCTGGCTGTTGAGACTTTAGCAGAGAGAAGTAGCAGGGCGTCATTCCACTAACTTGACGATTAACGGCTAATCCGTTCCACCATGTGAGTACCAATACTGAGTTGAATAAATCTAAAAATGTTTATAACACTTGACATGTTAGGAGTCACACAAACCCCCTTTACAGCTTGCATTGAAATGCATTTCGAATCTAGGTATTGTTTTACCTGATTACATCCACACCTGGTGCTAATATGTGTCTCCAGAGTCCACACTGAGATTAGATTGAGATCCACTTGCTTTCTCCAGCAAACAGGCCTTGTCCCGGTCTGTCATAAACTACTATGATAAAATTAAAAAAATATTTATTTAAAAAAATAAATAAATAAATACATGGTGACACAGCCTGTCACTCAAAGTGGCCAGCCCTTAATTATGTGCAGCTTGAAGCCTTAATAAAATGTAACGGTTGAGTTATAAAAAAATTCACAACCCCAGCAATTGTCATGAAGAGAAACTAGCTATAGACACCAAAACCGTTCGTTGTACCAGGCTGTAATCATGTTTATTTCTGCTGTAAAGTTGGGCATTTTAACATGGGGTTCTGTGGGGATTGACTGACGTGTTGAGTCAGCCTCAAGTGGCCGTTGAAAGAACTGCAGTTTATGACACTTCCATGTTGGCTTCATTTTTCAGCCCTGGAGGTGTCCGCTTGGTTTTGGGTGCATTCACTCCTGTACTTCCATGTGTTCAAGCAGTATCAGATTGTAATCCGTTTACTCAAAACACAAATGTAATGCAAGGTGTAAAGGAGGTCTTATGCTTCGAGATGAAGTTGAAGTTTTGCTTGTTGCTTTCTGTGAGAAACCCTCCTTGTTTAGTGCCTTGCAGAAGTTTTGCCAGTGAGTGGACTGCACTGAGGTGAAGTTCAAAACTACTGATAAATATTTTTTTCTGACACACTTCACCACCAAGAGCTGTGTATTTTTCAGTCTTTTTGTTGTATTTTTATTCAAGCTCTAGGTGTACATGAATGCCCACTACAGCTGATGAAGAAGCTGCCCTTCAGTTCAGTATTAGATGCTATCTTTCACATGCAATCCAGAAATTATTGTTGTCAATACAATTACAGACTGTGGGTGTCATTCAGTCCTTGGTTGGTACGAGTACATGTTGTAGCAGAGAAGATGGTCTCAAGTGTTACATTTCCTCTCTGGCAGCCAGCAGTGTTGTTGTATAGTCTTTGTTTTGTTTTTTGTTTTTTTTTACTCCTTGTGGCTTTTCCATCTCGCACTTCAATTGTTTGGTATCAGTTTGAGTCATTGTCAGAGGTGTTGTCATGTAGCTGCATTGGCACCACTCGTGAAGATTAAGTCTTTTCTTTTTACTCCATGTTGTGTATGGCCTAAGCATTCACATAGGTTTTTCTTTGCCTGCTGTTTTGTGTGTTTTGCTGTATTGTAGTGCATGACAGTGAGAGTGAGCGCTTTGTGTGCAAGTTACTGTAACAGCAATATTTCCAGGGCTGACTGCCTCCTATTTGACAAGTGACTTCCTCTGTAAGCATCAGGCCCATTATGATGTGTTGTCTTCATCTCCACAGCAAAGCGCTGTTTCTCTGCTTGCAGTGCAGCATTCTCTGTGCCTGCCTCTGTTCGACCTAAACATGACCCCAGAGGATTTCTTTAGTGTTTAGTATTCAGCCTCCAGTGCAGAATGTTTTTTTATTTATTTTTTCACCTCTGGATGTCTGTGAGTTGATTTCTTTTTAACATTGTATTATGTGCAGAAATGTAGCTTTCTAAGTGATAATTGCTTTTCTAGCTATGTGTGCCTTCCTCACCTGCCTCTTATAATTCAGCTGCAGCAACACACATCCTGATGGGAAATGCAATGTGTGGTTTTCTGCGACAGGCGTTCTCATTATACTCTTCCTCACAGATGTTGATGGAGCTGACATATGTGCATGTTAAAAAAGAAATGGATACCGGCATTGCTGGGATTGGGGCTGATAAAAACAAACAGCAGGATAGCTCTACATTAGGAGGATAATGCAAAAAAAAGACATCTCTCACAACTGCATTTTGCAGTAGCTTTTTTTGTACAATAGCATTTTAGCATGTGTTGGCAGAAAACATATTCAGCATACAGTCACAGCAAAACGATGCACGGTCATGGCTTTGGATTTACATACGCTAGTCTAGGGTTGCAATGATATACTGGTTTTAAAGGGATAGTGCACCCAAAAATGAAAATTCAGCCATTATCTACTCACCCATATGCTGAGGGAGGCTCAGGTGAAGTTTTAGAGTCCTCACATCACTTGCAGAGATCCAAGGGGAGAGGAGGTAGCAACACAACTCCACCTAATGGAGGCTGACGGCACCCTAGATTCAAACGTCCAAAAACACATAATTGAAACCACAAAGTATCTCCATACTGCTCGTCCGTAGTGATCCAAGTGTGCTGAAGTCCTGACATAAAAAGTTGTTTGGAAAAACGTCACTTGAACTCTGTTTTTAGCCTCATTGTAGCCTGCAGCTCTGACTGCTTCCCTGTACACTGCACTCACGTGTGCTCACTTGCATGAGACTGTGAGAGATGGGCACCGCCTTCATGTGTGTTCACGTGCTTTCGCTGGTCTCACGCAAGCGCGCACACGTGAGCGCGGTCCACAGAGAGGCAGTTAGAGCTACAGGTAACATTGAGGCTGAAAACAGAGTTCAAGTGACGTTTTTCCAAACAACTTTTTATGTCGGGGCTTCAGGACACTTGGATCACTACGGACGAGCAGTATGGAGATATTTTGTGGTTTCAATTATGTGTTTTTGGACGTTTTAATCTGGGGCGTTGTCAGCCTGCATTAGGTGGAGTTGTGCTGCTACCTCCTCTCTCCTGGGAACTCTGCAAGTGATGTGAGGACTCTAAAACTTCACCTGAGCCTCCCTCTGCATGAGGGTGAGTAGATAATGGCTGAATTTTCATTTTTTGGTGCACTAAAAAATTGTACAGGAAATCTCAACTTCCAGTGTTCGAAGTGAGAAAATAAGTTTGTCCTGGATTTGTACACAGTTGCAATGCCCTGCAGTCGACTGAGATCTTTCTGTGCTACATTCTTTGAGTCTCCTTGTGTCTGTTTGGGTTTTCTCCTGTGCTGTGAATGTGAAGGTTTGTATCTACAGTGTGGTGGAAAGGAAACTGCCCTAGTGCAACCATCCATCTACTGATGGCCATTGAACAACAATAACTAGGGCTTGGGTGCCTCTCTGGAGCCCCTTGATTACTGACAAGGAGGAAAGAGTCTCATTTTCTGTCATCGTCGGGATTTTAGGGTATTCAAACCAGCCACATCCCGGGCCCTTTTTTCCTCTGTTAGGACACTTCACTTTTTGCTCCCTGAAGAGAGTCACGTCTCAGAGTGAGTCTTTGCAATGGACTAGGTGATAATGGGACATGATTGTGTCTGAAAGTCACTTCTTTACATCAGCAATGTTGTAGTGTTTTAATGATGTAAATGTGTCAGCGGCATCAGCATGAAATGGCAAGCATTGCTGTTTGCTGTACAGTGACTTTGAGATTGGTTAGAAATTCATTAGTGTCGAATGAATTGAGGAACACTTATTTGTTAATTATTTGTAGTGTTAGAAACTATAACACAAGTAGTATAAAGCAGCCTTTGTCAGCCTTAGGAGGTAACAGTCTGTACGTATGCAGTAGTATAAATCGATATCCATTATGTCAGAGCACACAGACCGATCAGACGCCAGTATAATAGTAAGAGCACAGTCTCTTCTTACTGTAAAGATCAGTATATTTTACGTGACAACCCCATTTATCCTACTTTGCTTGGTCCAATAAATTGTTATTCTATGAATACTGTTAATGCAAACAGACTTTTATAGGCTGTAATGTATACTGTCTGTCTGATGGTGTGTGAGCTGTGGTTTTACTTTACTGTATGCATGTACAGCCAAGTGCATATCATGTGCTAATGTCTAAACAGGTGTAGTATCATTTGTTCCTGCCCGTGATATCATTAATTTTGTTCATGTCGGGTATGAACATAATTGTGCATTGCTGTTTTTGTGTACGTCTGCATGACAGCATCAGCGTACCGAGATAAGGCGTATTGCTCAGTGAACGGCTCTGCAGCACTGCTGACAAAACATACAATAATTGACAAGAACATTATTCACAGTTGGGGAATCGGCAAGATGCAGTGCTTTATCTCACTAATGCCTGGCATTTAAAGCTTCAAT